AACTATTTAATAGTTCTCGTTTTTTGTGTGTAACTTATTTAATTCAATTTTTTTATTATAATTTAATTTAGATTCAATAACAAAGTAATTTATTTTGATTTAATAATATAATTTTCTTATAAATATAATAATTAATTATTTTATTATAGCTCGATGATTATCCTAATTATATTTTAGATTTTTTATAATTTAAAATAAAATGTTTATCCTCAATTTGATTATGTTTATCCGCAGTTAGTTATACGAATTCAAACATCGAGCTTTTATAAGCTGTACTTATGCATAATTTACTTTTAATCTTGAATTTTAAGTAACATTGGTTTTATGTAGTTTTGAGAAAACGATAATGTTTTTATTTTTGAATAAATATAAATTTGAAAATATTATAAAATTTTGAAAAAAAATATAGATATTATTATCAAATTAATATTTTTAAAAGTTCTTGTGTTTTGGTGTATTTTCCTTAATTCAATTTTTTAATTATAATTTAATTTAGATTTACCAACAAATAAATTTAATTTAGGTTTAATAACATAATTTTTTATAAAGATAATAACTAAGTATTATGTTAAAACTCAATGATTATCCTAATTATATTTTAGATTTTTTATATTTAACATGGGATGTTTATCCAATATTTGATTATGTTTATCCAATATTTGATTATTTTTTAAACTCAATGATTATCCTAATTATATGTTTATCTAATATTTGAATTATCCTAACTGCAGATAAACATAATCAAATATTGGATAAACATCTCATTTTAAATATAAAAAATCTAAAATATAATTAGGATAATCATTAAGTTTTAACAGAATACTTAGTTATTATCCTTATAAAAAAATAGATTATTAAACCTAAATTAAATTTGTTTGTTATTATCTTTCTAATTAAAAAAATTGAATTAAGAAAATTACACCAAAATATAATAACTTTTAAAAAGATTAATTTGATAGTGATATCTATATTTTTTTTTTCAAAAATTTATTATATTTTCAAATTTATATTTTATTTAAAAATAAAAATATTATCGTTTTCTCAAAACTACATAACACCATATTATATTGACATAAAAAACGAATAAAACAAAACACTGAAATCAAGATGTGTCTTGATGCATTACACGAATGCTCTTCTAGTTATATTATAAAACATTTGACAAAAACTCTTAAAAACCATTTTTTATGCATTAAATATTGTTTATAAATTATTAAAGTTTCATTTCTAAATTCGTGTAACTAACTGCTGATAAACATAATCAAATACATGATAAACATCAATTTTTAATATAGAAAATCTAAAATATAATTAAGATAATCATTGGGTTCTAACAGAATGTTTAATTATTTATTTTTATAAAAAATTATATTATTAAACCAAAAATAAATTAATTTGTCATTAAATCTAAATTAAATTATAATAAAAAATTGAATAAGAAAAACGAAAACTATTAAATAGTTAATTTGATATTATTATCGATTTTTTTTTTACAAATTTTATGTTATTTTTAAATTTATATTTAATTTAAAAATAAAAACATTATCGCTTTCTCAAAACCATATAAAATTATATTATATCTATGAAAACAAAACATAAAAACTAAATATTAAAATTGAGATTTATGTCGTGAATACCTTTCTAATATTTTATAAATAAAAAATCTATTGAAATTAAATATATTTTTATTTTATGTTGTGTCGTCCAAATCTTCTTTTCTAAGGAAAGGAAAGAAAAGAGAGAAACCCGACCCGGCCCAATCCCACCGTCGCCTTTGTAAAAAAGTTATATGGCCCAACAACCCAAATCCAAGCTTCACTAATTACATTTACGCTCACGAATTCACGAATTCACGCTCCCGCCCACAGCCTCACGCCAGACGCCACCCGCCACCCGCAACCGGTGACCGTCCGCCGTTTCTCACGAGTCACGTCCCTGCTGCTCACGTCGGTATGGTTTAGTGATTCGTTGTATCATCTCTATTTTAGGGTTTAATTATTTTTGCATCGACTTTGGTATGGTTCTATTGTGATTAAGCCCTTAAGATTTACGGTTTATTTATTTATTAATATAATCATGCTTTTGATTTTATATGATTCTTGCAAATGGATCATGATTTAATGTTGATAGTTCTCTGTTTGTTGGCCAACTTCTTGGTAATCAAAATTAACCACAGATAGTCGGTATGAAGAAGATTTTTTGTTACACTTTAACTTGAAGTTAGGCGTTTGATGAAACGCTTCAATGACAAGAAGTTCAATGTCTTGTAGAAATTTCACTCGAGTGTGTGTTGTCCACAATATACTTTACATGGCTTCTTTGATAAGTACTGTTTATGTCTTTGGTAGGTTATGCATCGACTAGGTGTGGTACTTAGTTTCTATGAATGGTATGTGATTTGCGGTGTGATTAATGTAGAAATTTCAACTGCATTTTTTGTTTTATAAACTCCATTATGGCTAATAAATATGCTCTCATTCCTTCTCATGAACATGAATTATAACTACAATGGCAAATGGAGAACAGGAGAAGCGTAGAAACCCTAGTTCTTTGATATATCTTATGGTACCAAATTTTGCTGTTTGAAATCATCGTACCCATTGCGTTCTTCATAGGTCTCTACATAACGATCTTCCGCTTGACGACTACACAATGGACATCGACTTTGACGACCTTGATGGTCCGTCAAAGGCTCCGGTGACGAAGGCTGGGAAGTTCGCCCCTAAAAACTCCAAGTTTAAACCAGCTGCTAAACCCAAGCGTGAACAAAAATTATCGGTTCCGTTACCGGAATCGAATCCTGTCACCATTCCCAAGGTTGAGTTAGATGATTCAAAGCCGCCTCAGCAGGAGCCACCATCGATTGACTCAATTTACTCCAAGACTGAAATGGACCAACCCTTGCACACTGATCCTACTTCCCATGATGCTAACGGTAGTGTGAAAATGGATGCTGATGCTACGGAAATGGAAATAGATAATGAGCAGGAACCAGATGATGGGGATCGAGTTGTTCGAGAAATTGATGTTTTCATTACCTCTTCAGTTGATGCTGATTCTAAGGTTAACCATTACGATTCCATCAATATAACAAAACAAATCTATTTATTTACCTTTTCAAGTATTTGAGGAATTTATTTATATCTTCGAAAAATCAAAGTTATGTCATGACAAAGATGCCTGTTTCTTCGAAGTTGAAAAATGTAGTCTATTAATACTATCGGATTCAAGGGTAACCATACCTGAGGGTTAAAACTTAGGGGTTGTTTGGCTAATCGCTTACGGATTAGAGCTTATCGGTAAGAATCACCACTATAATTTACTTTATCGGGTAAGATTGTAGTCCATCAAAGCATTATCCTTTGCAACAATTTACCCAGTAAGTGCTTACCGGGTAAGAGTCGTCACCCTCACTTACCGGGAAGACTCTTCATCCTTATCGTCGCTCTTACCGGGTGAGATTCTCGGCCCTTCCCATGTTCATCCGGTAAGGTAAATGACCCCGTAAGCACTTAACGGGTAAGCATTTAGTAAACGGCCCCTTAGTAGGAACCAGGACGGAAGTCCCAACCACTTGAGAAAGCCTTGTTGGATGTAGTAATATAAAAATTACGAGTATACAAAAGAAGAATTCTCATATTCAAATGCATTGGAGCAGGTTACTGATTCACATGAATGTTTAATGATATTTGTAACTTTCTACAGGTATATGTCTTGCAATATCCTTTGAGGCAAAGTTGGCGGCCTTATGAACTAGAGGAGAGGTGTGAGAAGGTATTTATACAACACTTAATCTTTGCATACATCTTTTTAATATAAAGATTTGTGTTGTTGGATGGATTTTAGTTCTGATTTATCTGAGATGCTAATGTATTTGGATAATCTATTTTTGCAGGTTCGGGTGAAACCAGAAACTGCTGAAGTGGAGGTTGAAATGTCTGTTCAAGTTGATTCCGAAAATTTTGATGCTGATGCTGATGACAAAGCAATGTCAAAGCAGGTTTGTGTCTTTGTCTCAATATTTATGTAGTGGGGAAGGTCATGTATTAAAGGCGCCATGCAACGACACAGGGAGAGTTGAACTAGAATAACAGGTTAGAGGGAATGTGCATAAAGAGATAAGTCACAAGATCCGTGGTCGAGACTTACTCTTTGTAGTATATTATCATCAACACATATGGATGTATTTTATATGTATGTGGATTTTTGTTGAACGAGGTTATTTTTTGTTGCAAACCATGGTAAATTAGTAGCTAATTGGACGATTCTAGTCTCTGCCACCGAGGAATGATACAATAGTAGCTTAGTGGATGAGCTTAAGTTAGTAACTTATTCTATGCTTGTGTGGAAAAATATATTCAGTGGTTTCAACTTCAGAGCATGAGTGTTCACTAAACCTAACTTAAAAGAAATAATTATAACCATTTGCACGCTATTTTATATATCATGGTTGTCATGTTGTTACCTAGACTACAAGAGGTTTTGACCTTTGTGCTTGTTTTTACTAAGAGCAGAATGTTGTTAACTTTAGGATTTTGATTCTTGTGTTCCTTCTTCTTTCCTCTTCTGGTTGTCTTTTGCTGCATCTTTTCTTTATGTCTTCCTAATTCTTTTTGTAATATGATGTTCTCAATTACATTTAGGTATTATCATCTTCATGGAAGCCACCACCAGCAAATGGTTATGCTGTCGGGATTCTGGTGGGCAATGAGGTGTGTCTCCCGTTAACATTCACCTTTTATGCTGAGCTTAGAAAAACGCTATATTTACATTAGTTTTTTTTTTACGGTTCTCTCGTGGTGTCATCATCTTACATTCAGTGTTTTAAAAAGCATTAAGTCGTCAAGTGGCCTTCTAGCACTTAATCCCCTTTAACTTGTATTTAAGCGGAAGCATAAACGGTTCATATAGAAAATGCAGGATATAACTAATTTTGGATCATGTACACATATGATAACGAAATGGAAACTAAATGGTTCATTTGAATTAGAGTGTAATCATTTTTGATACTACATTATTTTTATACAATTACTCTTCTGAATCTCTAGTGTCATTTACCACGGATGTCAGTTACTTAAGAATGATTTTAAAGATTCTCTTCAAGTATGCTTAATTCTATATTCAGTTCTGATTATAGTGGCGAGGAACACAACTTCTAGGAAGGCAATCAAGGGGCTGTTTGGTTGGTTTTCCATCCAAGTGCTGTATGGATAAAGTTGTCTGTGTGGATTAATATGACTGTATAGATTGGGAGGCTTTTTTTAATAAATGGAAGGAGCGTTTTTTAATTGGGAGGGGAAGGTTTGGGAAAAAACTTGGCTTTCTACATAAAGCTCCCCTCCAAAAGCTTACTTATAATAAGTCACCTTTCATATTATTAAGCCACTACCAACAATTATGTATAGCTTACCGAATAAGCTGTGAGTCTCATTACGCTATTAACAAACAGGGCCTAAGTGGCCTTAGGTGGTGATGGTGTAAGGGTGGATTATCATCTGAATCAAAAGAGCGTTTAGCAAATGATCTTAGTGATTTTGTTAGTATTTTAGAAGAAACGGTTCAGTATTACACATTCTTTCGACCAAAAGTTCATCTAATTAAAACTTCATCTATATGTCAATTTGAGCGGGCTCAGTGCACCTAACATTCAGTTAGGTTCAACTTTTTTTGCTATGAAAGTACGTTTCATCTTACTCTTACATATCATGACTATTTATGCTAAAGGTTAATTGGTTTCAATCATCAAGGATTACAAGGAGGTTAGGTATTAAATGGAAGTTGTATATTTATGTAATGACGTAATGCTTCCTTCCCAATTTTGTTTGCAGTTGCACCTCAACCCTGTTCATGCAGTTGTGCAGCTCCGGCCGTCAATGCAACATCTTCAACATCCATCGAAGAAGATGAACGCAACTCGTGATGAGGACATGATTGATTCGGCAGACATCAAGAGTGAAAAAGCTATAAAGCAACCCAAGAAACAAGTTTAGTATCTATTCCATCTTGTTGGAGTCCCACATCGGCTAGACTTGGACCATTTCTCCGATATATATGGGAACTTCCTCTTTATCCTTAAGGGCTCTTTGTAGCATGATCTGGGGATTCCACATGTTCCCATGTTTTATCAGAGCCAAGGTCTGCACTCGAGGGACTCGGCACTCTGGCTAGCCCCCTCTCGACACCCTGGGGCAATATGTGTTCCTGTATATATGTTGGAACTTTCCCTTTCTCCTCAAGGGCTCTTTGGGAGAGTGATATGGGGGTTCCACATATTCTCACACCTCTCTTAAAAGTTAAAAGCTCATGCAATATCTATTCTCTTGTGTTGCCAGCATCTACCATAATCACAATAAAAAGGTTGAGCAGTGGTGAAAATCATGAATATCTTTTACGTAATCTTAGTGAGGTTAATTCTGGTTCTTTGATGTTAATTATTCAGAGCAAGCCACCAGGACCTGTCAATGAGCAAAATGAAAATACTAAAGAGGTATTAAACATTTCGTTTCCATTTATGTTAAGTTTTGTTGGTTCTTTTTCTCATTGGAGGAATATATAGAACACATTAGATGTGTACCCCAAATTCCCACCTATCAGTTGTTTGTTTACCCGTTACCGTTAAGACTTGACAACATATTGCTTTTCATGTAATATTTTTGAAGTATATAATATATATGTACTGCAAATATTCACACACACTCACCTTTCGTGACGTTTGAACCCTTGACCTCCAGGAAGGCTGTGGTAACCTGGGTACCACTGGACTAATGACCCCTCGGTTTCTCATGTAATTTGGTTATATATTTTTTCATCATCTTGATAGATTATCTTTTTCAGCAGTGGATTCCTCTCAAGTACCATGGTGCAGCGAGTGAACTGTCAGATACATACATCGGAAAGATGGTTGCACAACCAACCTCTCAAATACAATTTTCCATGAGCCCGTATGTCAACTATGCTGATTTGAGTCAGTTTCTGCTATTGAAGAATGTCTATCACTCACAGCTTGTTTTATGTTTTGTTGGTTGAAGGTCTGATTATATTGACTCCTTATGTCCTGCCACTTCAAATGACAAACTCAGATCCAAAGGTCCATCTAGAAGGTGTGTACTCAGTTCCTCCTATTGCTTTTATTATCATTATTGTTGTTATTACTAGTATGAAAGTGCGCGCACACACACATATCTCGTCATAGTTATGCTATGCTCAGCTGTAACAACTTGTCCCACTTGAATAGAAAATGAGATTCATGAGCTCCTTATAAGCCTCAAGTTGTGGGCTACCAATAACTTCTAGTCATCTACCATGGTTTTAAGTTGGGTTTGAAGTTATTGGGACAACCTGCTTTGGGCTTTGGGGTGTTACAAATGGTATCAGAACCCATCCTTGTACCACTGGGATGGTGGTGCTGCAAACCACATCGGGTATGATGAGTCCTCGAGAGGGGTGTGTTTGTAACATCTTAGGTAGATCGCACATCGACCTGCTTTATAGCTTAGCTTGTGCTTAGTTCCAGAATTTATTACCGCAAATGGAAACAAGTTCCATTTTTTTTATTACGGAAGAGAATCTTACAGTTTATCAACTTGTGAGATATTTTGGTTGATGATGTTTCAGTTCTTTGCTCAAACTTCCGCTAGAAGAGCGTTACAAGACTTGGCTTTCTGAGGTTAGTGTAACCTGTGTCTGTTTTCTTGTATGCATTCTGCAAACGCATCTGTTCATTGAAAAGGTTTATAAGAAGGTATTAAAATACATAAAAATGTCATTAAAATACTTGGTTATCATACAATTAATCAAATATCAATTGTCTTTTTATTATTTGAAGACTTCATTGTTTATTGAATTTGGGATAATGCATAACAAAAAAGATTAATGGTTATACCCAATGGATATTAGATGGATTGAATGCACGATTACCGGACCTGCATCTATCTACTAGGGATGGCAACACGCCGAGTTCGGGCCGGTTATTTGCATCCATCCCCGAAACCGATAATGAAAACCGTCCCTGTAAACGCCCTAATCCCCGTCGGGGATCTTAACGGGGATCTCCATTAGGTCCCACGGTTTCTCTGACCCTCCTTGGGGAACCCATTAAGGGTAAAAATCCCCATTCTCTGTTGCTTTCTTCGTTCATCGTTGGTTATCCCCGAACCCGAAAAATTGGAGATTAATTTGAAGGTGAGGCCGTGAAGGTAGGAAACTGTAGTAAAAAACGAGAATTACAAGAAGATGGTAGTAATAGGGATAATTTTTTGTGATATATATACCAGGCCAGGCAAGTGATGACCGTCCCCTACAGGGGCGGACTTAAAGACATGATTGGGGGGAAAGGCCCCCACTAAAAGATCAAAATTTTATGTAATTTAGGTAAAAAAATATTTTCTCTTATATGCTTAGTTTCCCAGAGTCATTTACAACGGTGGCCTCCAGTGACCCAATCCGTTTTGATGAAACCCCAATTCCCTTGCTTGACAGTTGTTCCCCCCACACATTAATTCTTTTGTTACCATTAGTTGATGGTTTTGTTAAATATATTTCTATTTCCTGTTTTTTTTTTAATTTAAAGATAAAATCAATTTACCTAACCTAAATTTTATACATGCTCAAACTGGTTCATCTAGAAGGAAATTAAATAAAGTAAATAATAGTATAATTTGCTATTTGGTTAACCAATATGGTAAAAGAATCCAAACTGAACCTTACATTATTCGGTTAATCGCACCGTTTAACTCACACACTGAATAACCCCAAACCGTTTTGGTTTGGGTGAGATTCGGTTTTGGGTTTTTTTATACCCCATTCACCTAAGTTTCTGGATCCACCACTGGTCCCTGAAACCTATAAAATCCCAGAATTCGTCCCCAATCACCGCCCCGTCCTAGAAAAGTAGCCCTGAACCTGACCAAAAAAACCAGTTCTCAGTTTTCACCGTTGGTTTCGTTTTTTTGGCATCCCTACCATCTGTAGTTCAAATATATGTTAACGGATAGAAATAATATCCATTTTGTTGGGCTTGTTCATGATTATACATTAAATGGTTTAGGCATTATTTAACATTAATTATTGTTTCATCTATTATGATTTTTCACCAGGGTCCTCCGGTACATCGATTTACCGCTCTTAAACACCTAGCTCCGAATGACAATGATGCAGATATTTTCAGAGTTCTCCAGAGTCATGCACAATTAGTTCAAGGATTGTGGGTTGCAAAAAGTAAACTGAAATATAAGAAAGATGTAGGAAAGGAAGTTCTGCTCAGAAATTATGTACTGCTTCAGTTTAGCAAAAATCCCCTTTTTAATGAAATGCAGCTACCTAAAATACCTTCATTCAGCGAAACAATTAAAGGCATATTGGATGAATTTGCAACAAGAAGAGATTCTTGCAGGGATTGGAAATTTAAAGAGTGTCCAGATGTTTCATTTATAAAAGATTATCCCGATGTTGTTCAAGCACAAAAGAATATTTGGGATCTCGTGGAGCCACAAATAAACGAGTTTATATTTCGGCAGAGCTCGAAACATAGTATTGGGGATAGGCGGGCTACATCAAATAGTACCAATGATGTTGTACCAAAAACCACTAACGTGCCACCTTCTAGGACACCGATGCTAGATGAAGCTCGAGAAGCATTACCAAAGGCCCTTCAGAAAGTTTTTCAAGCTTACAAGGTTTGCAGGTAAGCTCATTGTCTTCATTTGTTTGATTGTAGAATTTTTTTTATATACAGCAATATTCGTCTTCTTACCGTTTTCATAAAGTTCAGATAGATGGCCTACCGTTGTTCATAACTGCTATGACTTATTGTATACCCTCCTTTCCAAAATAGATGCCCACAATGAAAAAAAGTAAAAAACACACCGTTTTAGAAATGTGTAATTATTACACTTTTTAATCAACTAAATGACTATTTTACCCTTATTAATGAATTTCTCCGTCTCATAATTAAGGATAAAATTGGACTACGACAAACTAAAATAGAAATGTGGACACTTATTTTGGGGGGGATTGAGGGAGTTAGCAAAGTAGGTCTGCAATTTCACAACGTTGTGTTAGAAGATCTAGGAGCCGTTTACCCAAACGCTAAGAGTTAACATTCTAACTTGCTTTACCGAGTAAGATTGCAGTCCATCAAAACGGTATCGTATGCACCAATTTACCTTGTAAGTGCTTACCGGGTAAGAGTCGTCACCCTCACTTACCGGGTAAGAGTCGTCACCCTTATCATTGTTCTTACCGTGTATGATTCTCGGCCTTTGCCATATTCATTCAGTAAGGTAAATGATCTTGTAAGCGCTTACTGGGTAAGCATTTAGGGGCCGTTTACCCAAATGCTTACCCGGTAAGCGCTTACCAGGAAGCTTCAACACTATCACTTACATGCTATTACTTACTTTATCGGGTAAGATTCTAATCCATCAAAACAGCGTCATATGAAACAATTAACCCGGTAAGCGCTAACCGGGTAAGAGTCGTCACTCTTACTTATTGCGTAAGACTCTTGGTCCTTGCAATCGCTCTTACCGGGTAAGATTCTTGATTCTTGTCATGTTTTTCCGGTAAGGTAAATGACCGGGTAAGCCCCCACCGGGTAAGCGTTTGGTAGACGGACTCTTAGTATACTACTACCTCTTTCTTGTTCCCTTTACCTTTTACTGAACTGCTTAAATATATGACAACAGCTTGAACCAAATACGCCAAAGATTGCGGGATATGGCAGTCTCGGAGAACACACACCGGAAGGGGACTCGAGAGGCGAGAGCTGCAGCTGCAGCTGCAGATGCTCCTCAGGAGGAGCTTCAGAAAACCTTAAATCAAGTTGCCGTTAACATACATGGGTCCTTTGTTTCAAGATCATCGCCAGATCATCCTCAATACGATGAATTAAGGTTTAGTTCTGATTGGAGTCCTACATCTGCTAGACTTGAATATATGTTGGAACCTTTCCTTTCTCCTCAAGGGCTCTTTTGGAGGGTGATATAGGGGTTCAACATTCTCGCATTTCTTATCTTCTTAACCTTTAACTTAACAAGGTCATTTGGTTTATTCTTAATTCTAATATGTTTTTGTTTGGTTTGGTTTGTTTTTCTAGGAATATTGTCATCAACCTTTTTCTTGCTGAAGGACCCAAAGGGAGGCTAAAAAAGGCCTCCATCTATGCAGCTGCAAGTGTGAAGCTGAATAGGGAAATAACTAATGTTGAGTATCAAAAGGTCAGATTGCTTCATGTGACATTGTTCTTATATTTTAATATTTAATTATGCAATATTGATTCACATCGAGGGTCAAATAAAAATCTGTCATCTAGGAACTATATAGAGCTTGTTAATCAACTAGTAATGTCACTGGGCTGACTTCACTTACAGTTCATTACATTCGCTTGTTTTATATGAACTATAATAAAGAGGGACTAAATCATGGCAAGAGCAAGTCTTTTGTCCTACATTAGTCTATAAAATCCATAAGGGTGTGTCTGGTACACCGGATAGGATAGAAGAGAACAGTGATTACTATTCCACGCTCGGTAGAACTTTTATGTGGAATAGAGACAGGAACAGAGTGGAACAGGCGTGTTCCACACCCACCCAATGGAACAAGGTGGGACAAACCTATATTTTACCAACATAACTTCAAAATAAAACCTAATTCACTTCTAAAACAGCAAACACGCCTCCCTTTTTACATTTTCTTCATCTTTAAATTTTATTTATTGTTTTTTATGCTCTTTAAACTTTCACTTCACTGTCCTCAAAATATTATTTTTATACGGTTTCTATATTTTGATTAATTTTTGTAATTTATTGAATAATAATAATAATAATAATAATAATAAAATATAAAAAAGTATAAAATAAAAATTGAAAACTACATGCACTTTCTATTTTGGTGTCAATTTAATTGTTCTGACGAAAATTTTCTAATGATATATTTTGTTATAAAAATATTTATATCATTATAATTTAATAAATTACATAAATTAATCAAAATATATAACATATATAGACAATTCATTAGGTGTAAATTGGTCATTTTATCTGTTATGTTATGTCCAATTTTGTCTTACCAAACATTGAACAACTTTTTTGTCCTGTTTGGATACCAAACACACCCTAAGGGAGCGTTTGCATGAGGGAGCAGTTGGTACGCAGGACTGGACAAGACAACAAAAATAGGTGGAACAAAATTGATGGAGATGGGACAAAATTGGTAAATTAGTGAAGTACCCATGATGTCAAATCAAAACCCTAAAACCTTCCACAATTCTTTCGCCCGCCCACCTCACTCGTGCCTGTCGGGTGCGAAACAACTATGGGGCTGTATGGGGGCTCTAGAGTATATAACATCCATCCAATCTTGAATCAAGAATCAAAATTTACTAGATTTGATCCCAGAAAGAGGGAGGAGGCTAAGGGGTTGTTCGGTTGTGGCTTTATAAGTTGTATAGTCTATATGGCTTATTCGGGCAGCTCATGACTTAATCGGTAAGCTAAAAAACTACTCATATACACTCGGTCATTTATTGATCGATTTATTCCCTTTTTACTCTTCCCCTTATTTCGTCTTCTTCTCCCTTTATATAAAATCAACCAGCCATTTGTTAAAATATTTCACCATTTTTTCTCTCTCTGCGTCTTCTCCTTCCTTCTTCTAGATATTAGAGATCTCTCAAGCTTCAAAGTTCAAACCATCAGCAGCATAGTCGCTTCTCTTGTGTCGTTGCTCCTTCGATTTGTTTTTTTTAAACCTAAACCTTGATTTCGATCTCTATTCTTTGCAGATCTGGGTTTTGTACATTCTCTGCTGGTTGTTTTTCAGCTAGAAATTGATTTTTCATTTAGATCTATGCCTTGAAACCTCAAAGATGGAGGGCAGAGTTGAAAGCCCACAGTGGAGAAGGGTGGAGGAGATGCCAATAAATTGATTTTTCATTTAGATCTCTGCATTGAAACCTCAATGATGTTGTTCCTGAGTTAAGGAGATGCCAAGAGAGAATTTATTATGATATATAATATAATCATGGTTCTAAATAAAATTAAATTCAACTATTATGTTGGATCAAGTTGTTTTAATCTAAAAAGCATTTGAATTATTATTTTTTCATCATTAGAAACAATGTTTTTATCAAACAACTATTTTCTTTAGACAAAAATATAGACTGAAGGGTAAAATGGTCATTTCTGACATTCAGACTGTTTATTCAGCACAACAACCAAACAACTTATCTGTTAATATACTAGCTTTGATTGGACCATTTGTGCTTTAGCGTAGCTGATGATGCATTTGAACTTGCAGGTGTTGAATGAACTGTGCATTTCACAAAATTCTGCATGGATCTTGAAAAGTGGGGATAGTCCAACATAAAGATGTATTTTTCTCATCTGGTAAGCCATAAATTATGTGCAAGATACTTTAGATTAATACCAATTTGAAGCTGTGGTTTCACGACATAGGTGCACATGTTTTCCCATTATGGGACGTTTACTAAATGTTTGTAGGTAAGTGCTTATCGGGTCACTTTATCTTATTGGATGAACATAATAAGGATTGGGAATCTTACCTTGTAAGAGCGATGACAAGGACCGAGAGTCTTACCCGATAAAGTGAGATTGACGACTCTTACCCGGTAAGCAGCTTACTGGATAAAAATGTTGCATATGATGCCGTTTTAATGGATTATAATTTTACCCAAGCAAGTTAAATGAAAGTGTTTCACTCTTATGAGTAAGCGTTTGGGTAAACAGCCCCTAACTGTAGCACATACCTGTTCTAAATTGTCTTAGGGGCCGTTTACCCAAATGCTTACCCGGTAAGTGCTTACCAATAGGAGTCAACACTATAATTTATTTTGATACGTAAGATTTTAGTACATCAAAACATATCGAATGCAACAATTTACTGGGTAAGCGCTTACCTGGGTAAGAGTCGTCATCCTCACTTACCGGGTAAGACTCTCCATCCTTCCATTCGCTCTTACCCGGTAAGATTATTGGCCTTTCTCATTTTCATCCGATAAGGAAATTTATGCGTTAAGCACTTACCAATTAAGTGTTTAGTGTTTAGTAAACGGCTCCTTAGGTGGGCCGTTTACCAATACGAATCGGGTAAACGCTGACCGGGTAAGAGTCACCACCTTCACCTTATTGGTAAAAGATTATTGGCCATCAAAATATCATAGTATAAACGTATCTTACCCGGTGAGCATAAACTGTGTAAGAATCACCATCCTCACTTAGGGCTGTTTGATTGGTTTTTCATTAACTCATGTATTGATAAAGCTGTCTGTGTGGATTAATATGTGTATATTGATTGAGAAGGGTGGATTAATATGTATATATAGATTGAGAAGGTTGTTGTTCAAAAGGGGTTTTACATAGATGAAATGAGTGTGCTTTTTAATTGGGAGGGGCATGTTTGAAAAAAAACTTAGTTTTCTGCATAAAGTTCCCCTTGAATACTTACTGAAAAGGCCACTTTCTAAATCATTAAGCCACTACCAAACAGTCATGAATGGCTGATCGAATAAGCTGTGGATTGCCGGTAAAGACCATCATCTTTGATCGGGTAAGCGTAAGAGGCGATAAGTGTTTAGTAAACAACCCCTTAGTTTAAAATTTCAACGTTAATCTTGATTTCGGCGTAAAACTGTATCCACTATAAACCATGTAAGAAAGCTATCGTTCTTCAAGGACCAAGTCTAATTAATTGTTGTTGTTTGATGTTTCCAGGTGTCGGGTTGAACCATGTTATCGCTGGTGTTCTTCTGCAACAATTCAAATGATTTTTTTCCCAGGAGTAAATACGGTTACTTTACTAGTCGTAGTAATAGTAGTAGTAGTAGGGATGTTCGTGCTGCAGTTTGGGGCTAAACAACAAACCTTATTGCCTATCTACAAGTTGAGGAGTTACTTACAGAGGTAACAAAGTTTTTGAAGTTTTGAAAGAGAATTGGTTAAAAATAGCTATTTTGAACAATTTGTCCATTTATTAAAAATAATTAAATGGTCCAAATCGACCATCCTTTCGACTGAAAACTACGAAAAGGTTTTGGTAAAAAAAAAGCATAGAAAAGCATTGGTATTTATTAAAAATAATTAAATGGTCCAAATTGACTATCTTCTAGATTAAGAACTAAAAGTAAAGCTGGGAACAGACTGAACGAACATGAATGAAGGCTTGTTTGTGTTCGTTTATTTTAACTTAACCGAACAAACACGAACATAAATGATCGAAATTGTGTGTTTATATTCGTTTGTTAAAAAAATGTGTTTGCTCATTGCTCGTTTGTTAATTGTTATGATGTTAAACGAACATAAACGAAAGAACATAGATGAACATAAACGAACGAAATAGATGACAAAATTATGTAATAAATATTTTATTATAGACTTTATTCAAACAACTTTTATATATTGTTTCTTAAAATAGAGAAAGCTCAAAGTTCATTCTCAGTAATAAGATTGGGTTTTTAGTATTTTATATATACGGCTTTTTTAAGAGTGTATTTAGATGACAAAATTATGTAATATTTTAATAATACAATAAATGTTGAGATCTCTAAAATAAAGAATTTGTTACGGTTGCATTTAATTCTAACTTTTACTTCTCTATTTTAGAGAAACGTTGCTTATGATCAGTACACAGTAAATTTTGAAATGATAAACTTGCTGCTAGCTACTAAATAATATAATAAGTTATTTCAATATCTAATTCACTCGGGTATTAAATTTCCTCCAACTACCCCTCTCCCAAACTACTTTTAAAAAGAGGGCGCTCCTCCGTCATTTCTCCATCGATGCACGCATAAATCTTCATCGGTTCTCCACGTTTGCTCTTCACCATCCATCACAGGGATGTCGATCTTTCTCTTCATCGATTTTCTGTATAATGGTTTCTAGTATACCGATTTCCCCCAACAAGATGATGTTGATAACCAAATGGCCTTTGGACTAGCGGTGTGTGAGTCTTTGGCCTCCTAGGAGATCAAGGGTTCAAACCTCAATAAGGGTGAGGAGGATGTGTGAATTAAATTTTCTCTATTTGCCGTATATAAATATTATATACTTAAAAAAAATGATGTTGATAAGAGAGCTAAGATGTTTATCGACATATATGATTGGAACGGCAAGGTTCTTGCTACTCTGGTACAAAAAGGATACGAGCTTTGGATCATCGGTTTCTAATTCTCCCTGAAATTTGTTCTTCAGAATGATGATGATCAATCGAAGTTACAAAGCTTTGCAAGAAATCTTGAACTTTTTGATTTTGAAATCTACGAGAAAATGATCTGGATCTTGGACTCGATGGGATCGATGAATCGGGTTTGTGAGAAGAGCTGATGATTTTAATTTGCAGACTTTGTCTCTGTACATGTAAATCATGTTCAAAAACTTTTTTTTTTACACTTTGACTCATCTACAAGTTGAGAAGTTGTTACTTACAAAGGTAACGGCGTTTTTAAAATTTTGAAAAAGAATTAGTTAAGAAATAAATATATAAGCCTGAAATAGCTATTTTGGTCCATTTATTAAAAATAATTAAATGTCCAAATCGACCATCTTGTCGATTGAAAACTACAAAAAGGTAATTGGAGAAAAAACATAGAAAAGCATTTGTATATATTAAAAATAATTAAATGGTCCAAATTGACCATCTTCTAGATTAAGTACTAAACGTAAAGCTGCGAACGGATTGAAGGAACACGAATGAAGGCTTGTTTGTGTTCGTTTATTTTACTTAACCGAACACATACAAACGTAAATGATCGAAATTATGTGTGTTTATATTCGTTTGTTAAACGACTGTAAACGAAAGAACATAGATGAGCATAAACAAACGTAAACGAAAGAACGAAAATGAACGAACATAAATGAACATAAACGAATGAAATAGATGAATGAAAACAAATGTAAACGAACGAACATAGATGAATGAAAACAGATGAATAAAAAGCAACCACCATTACACATCATTTTATTCCTAAAAAATAACATAACAAAATAAATCTCAACCGTCCATTTAATTTGATTAATATGTGATTTAATAAAAGTTTTGATTGTTTCATAATATAAAATATTTTTTTTTGAAAGGCAAAAAAAAAGGACAAAGAAGAGAGCTACATCATGACCATCACCCTCATCAAGCCAACCAATATATAAACAACAGATCCTGCAAGAAGCTAGATACAAGAAGATACAAAAATCCAACAAACAAGCGAGAACAAAAAAAAAAACAAAACCGAACAACCCCAGACAAAAGACCGAGGCAAAACCCAAAACAAAGACAGACAAAAAAGACTAAACAAGGTAAGAAGAGGAAGACCAACTATCCCAATTAACATGGAACTTACGATCCCTATTACCCATCTAAAGCTTGGATAAATTTTGAACACAAGGGAATGGGTCTTCACCTTTCTTCTTAATTTCCGCACCATCCTCAGCATGAAGAATTTCATTCCACCACTTCCTAAGTTGAAAAAAGTGTCACAGCGCAAACTGATAAGAAAGTCACTCCAACCTTGCGATGAGTTCCTACTTGTTTGATCAGCATTTTAAAATCAGACACCGAGGATAGACGCGTAGCTTTAAGATCCCACCAGACCCAAATTTTCCTCCAAAGAATACTCGCCACCGAACAAGTAAAGAAACAATGGTCCATTGTTTCAACACCTTTACCACACAGAATGCACTCCAGAGATTGTAACGGAATCCCATAAATATTCAAATTATAATAAATGAACTTTCATCGTTTTCATAAATATCTTAATTGATTGGGTTGCATTGTTTATACAAATATGATGGTTACATTTGAAACGTCCTTTATAAATATATTTGAATACATAAACAGACGTAAACAAACATAAATGAACGAATAATACCATTGTTATGTTTGTTCATTAAACTAAAAAAATGTTCATGTTCTTTCATTTAACTAAACAAACAAAAAAATATGTTCATATTCTTTCATTTAACTAAATAAACAAAAAAATATATGTATTTTTATTTGTTGATTAAATAAACACACTTCCTGTCAAAAAAGTGGGGGTTGATATCTTCACCCCTTACGTCACTTCCCACCCCCTCTTCCTCACATCTTTTTCTCACTCACACCCTCACATTCACCGAATTTTTAAAAATTTTAATTTTAAATTTACATTTCATACCCCTATAATTAGATAATTAATTTACTTTATATCATTTTCTTTTAAAATTTTCATTTTACATCCTTATCAAATTAACACACATAATTATATATCAATTATAACATGTTTAAAAAATACATTTTTATTTTAACAAATTACATCATTATAATCGTCTCGTTAATACCTTCGAAATGAGTCCAATATTGAATAGTTTTTGAATTAATTATATTATTATATATTATATATAATATGAAAAAATATTTTTAATGTTTATATTTTATACTTTTATAATTATTTATTTAATTTATAGTACATAATTTATTTTTTCAATTTTTGTTTTACACCATTATCACATTGAAAAACAAAATTTTATATTAACTAAAACTAGATCTAACAACGAAATTAAACTCTCAGGAAGCATTCTCATACCATTTATTCATCTTGTTCATTTTAACAAGTTACACTGTTATAATCGTCTCGTTAATACCTTCAAAATAAGTCCAATATTGAATAGTTTTGAACTTAATTATATTATTATATATTATATATACTATGAAAAAATATTTTTAATATTTACGATTTATACTCTTATAGTTATTTATTTAATTTATGATACATCATTTATTTTCACGCCATTATCACATTAAAATAATTTTCTACTTTGAGTTGGATTCAAATAATAGTAACCCAATATCAATCCAATACCTACGGTTTGAAAATTTTACAACTC